TTTTCAATTTGCCATTGTTTATGCTTTTGGAGCTGAGGCTGTAATGGTTGTCCTTGGTTCTCAAGCTGGAAAAGTATTGCTTTGTCTAACTACCCTGTGAAAAGAATTTGCTGACACTTTATATGAAGTCACACACTAAGGCAGAACAGCAACTAAAAAATATGAAAGCTAAAACTTAAGGCATCAAACATCCCCATGTATTCTCTCCTTTGTTTCTCCAAACACATCTGTCACATGTCTCTGTCTGCCCTTAATTACACTCGGGCAGAGGTGCCGTATGCTCCTTTGACTGGAGATTTGGCATACAATGAGTTCTTTTCATTCATTACAAGGTCTGCTGCAAATGGCCAAGGACAGTTGGTGTCCTCCTCTCACAAATGGTGCCAGCGCCCAACACAGGCTCCAGGCCCATGTGCAGAGGGTGTTGGGGAAATCTCCTGCTGAAGCTGGTTGTGCTCTCAGGGTCCTAATACAGACTGTTGTCAGTCCTGGAACTTAAATACCTGGTAGTATTTTCTATATATTTATTACCTCTCGATCGATTTCTCTTCCATGGCTTTGTCAAGTTTCCCTTTAAAATCATGTGAAATTTTATCATCTTCCACATTCTATGACCATTAATTCCATCATTCAGCTGTTTGTTGTCAGCTACCACTATGTGCTGGGGTTTTTTAACTGCTTTCTGCTAACTTCTTTTAATGCCACTAAGTTCCTATGTCAGAAGATATACCAAATAGTTAACCTCTGTCACTGCCTCTATAACACTCAGGACTTTAGAAACCTCTGCTCTTGAGATCATCCCTCTCCTTAGAGTTTGACTGCATAGCTCAGGGGCCTGTGAAGCAGCTTCCAAACCTTGAACCAGGGCACTGTTTGTGACAGAGCTGTGAGATTCCTCCATGGGGGTCTACATCCCCCTCACTCAAGAGAAGAATTTAAGTAGAGTCTCTTGACTGTCCCTTGCTACTTCGCATGCCTTTGCCTGGCCATGAACCTTAGCAAGATGGACACTGCAAGTGTTAATTTTGGACACTAGTAAGAAAATTATTAAAGTATATTTTATTGGAAATGACATGAGAGGGGGAAAGGAGACAGCATAGACAGTTTAATGTATCTTCCAGTGGTCAGATCCCGAAGCAGTGCAGTATTGGATGGATCTTTCTTCAGGGAACAGCACACGGTGCATAACCCATGCATGCAGAGGTTCACAGGTGGTGTGATCTTTATACTTTTATAGGTATGTTCTGTTTATCATTTCTACTGAGGAACCAAAGTATACAGAAAAATGCTGCTTCACTTCAATATATAGATAAGGATACACCTGCAACATCATCACAGAGTGCCAGTTTGGGACCATCTGTGAGGTTCTCCATTCCTCCATCTGTGAGCTTCTCCATTATGATTAGCAGATGAAGTTTAGCCCGCAGCCATATGATATGTTTTGTGCTGTATAGTCCCCGACACTAAGCAGTATGTGCAGCATAACTTAACATAAAAATGCACACACTGCTCAGCCTGATCAGACCCATTTTTACGTGGTCACTAACTCCTCAATGTACAATAGAGTTTTGGTTAGGAGCACTACAGACCCTGATTTGTAGATTTAACCTGCAGGCTTGATATTTGACCTACCTCATCACCACAGGCTTGTTTGGCAATCACTGGACTGTAGCAGTAGTGTAGGGAATTGCAGCATCTAACATCTAGGGAAAGTCCCTGCCCTTCTGGTCTTGTTGTCACCTCCTGCTGTGCATCCCCTTTTCTTGCCAAGCAGACCTACCGTTGCTGCTTTTTGACAATCTCCTCTCTGCTGTCCCTTTTCCCTAGTGATAAATCTTAGCTCACTAGCCACAAGAAGCAGAAAGTCCTGCTCTGTATCAAAGCCTTTCTAGCAGACATACAGCTTCCAGTTTGATTCAGCATATTGTGCTTTCTCAAATGCCATTTGGGAACACAGGACAGCTCTTCTCTGGAGTCCAGGGGGAGTTCTGCACCTCCTCTAGTGACTATGGTTACAGCACAATGCCTGCTAAATCTTGTGCCTTCAGGCATGGATTCTGTTTGCTTAGGACACAGCAGGCCTCTCTCACAAGTCATATATGCAGAGGGACGTGGAATGGTCTCAAAAATTTATATTCCCCAAAGGGCAGGGAAGAGACGTCATCTCCAACCGTTCCCCAAATGACATAAGAAGCAAAGGCACAAGTAGTTCACACAGTATTTCAAATGCTGTCCTGTGTGTGTCTGTTGTTGTTCCACACACGCCTGGCAGTACAATAAATCCAGAACAACAAGGCACATAGTGAAAATAGAGTGTAGTGAATGGACAGATAACAGTTTATTGACATACCAGCTTCAATGATGCTGCCAGGGAGCAACAAGGGCTGCAGGACAATACCCAGACTTTGTGGGAGCTGGGATTAGTGTTATTAAACTCTTGCCAGACTGCATAGCTGGGATACTGCAGGCAGTATCCCAGCTATGCATGGCTGCTCTTCCCTCATCCCTTTGTAACACCCTCCACACTGATCTCTTCGGAATTGCTTCCCATGGGAGATGCAGCAGCTACATTGACCGTGGCAGAGCCTTTGCAGCAGGTCCTGCCAGCACAGACCAGCACTGCACAAACACAGTACTGGGCCCAGCCAATGATACAGGGGTATGGATGTTATTCAACCTCCCTGAATATGCACTTTTATCTCTCATTTTATCCTCTTTAGAGGATGGTTTCTCTTTCATAAACAAAACAGCTCCATCCATTCTACAGTGTTTGACCATGGTTTTTTTTTTCAGGACACAGACATTTTAAAATAGCTCTGATCTTTCACCAAATAATATTTCTGTCTTTTTCTTCAAAAATTACTGGGTTTCAAGCCCAGTTCCACTGGTTTACATTTTCAGCATATTGATCATAATCATCTGCTTGCACAAAAATTAGGAACAGAATTGGAACATACGTTAAGCTCCCAGATCTAGTTTTCAACAGATGTCTCTCTGTCAGAAGACTTGAGAGATCATTTTGTATCCCTAGTGACACCTAATGGCCCAATGTAAAATGAGTCAAATAGTTCTGTTTCACAATGATGACATTAGGTGGACCTCTCTCATATGTAGTTTTAGGAAACCATTTATGATTTCATTCATCTTAATTTCATTACTATTGATTTTCTCCTTTTCTTTAAAATAATCATCAAGTAAAGGAACAATTAGACAAGAGAATAGTTATTTTGTATATTCATGTTATATAATTCAGTAAATATTAAATTTAATTTCATTGTACCTAGAAAGTGAAGAGTGATAGATATGCTTCTTTCAGTTTAATAACAGATCTATAATTGTTTATAAACTTTCACCCTCTGCTCCTTAGAACAGTATTTCATAAATCCTACCTTTTTCTTTTTTGCTTTAGTTGTAGCAAAACTCTCTTTGCTGCCTTAGGTTTTAAGGGAAGCAGAACATTATATGCATAGTATTGCTTGAAATTACATTAAAAAGAGTACTTTTTTTACTTGAATACTTCTGTTAATCATGTCTAATCCCTTAAAACTGTCTTGGGAAGACCAGTATTTGCAGTTCTTCCATAGGCTTCATAGCAGCCAAGATACGCTTCCCTGTAGTCAGCATCACCATTTCAAGTTACTTCTAAAATACTGAGACAGCTTCAAATACTCCAAAGTGTCTCCCTTTTCTAAGCACTTTTTAAGTACTGTGATTTGCAGTTCTGCACGTGTATGCCAGCAAGGAAGATGCTTAAGTCAGTGATCAACACTAATAAGTCTTTCAATTGGATAAACTGCAACCTGAAGAACCTTCCCCCTAAAGATGCTGAAATAGGAAATGATGCCTCTAGGTGATTATGTTATCAAAAGGCAGTAACAAAGATTTTCTCACATGGTTCCTACGGGTATTAGACAGCTGAAGCAGTCCACCTTTAAAAAAAATAGCAATCCACCTTTCCTCATGTTTTTGAACGTGTATCTCTTAGGCATCACTTCAGTGTATTTCTTGAGGTCGATTAAAGGAAATATTTTTAAACTATATGTAAATACAATAGCAGATTAAAATAACTGAGTTATTTGATATATCATATGGAGATGAGTGCAAGGTAAAAATAGGAGCTATAGGGCTTATCTTGCTTAAATTCAGAATTTTAGGAAAAAAAAAGTTAGGGTCTTGAATACTTCATATGTGTGTACATTCTGATTTTGAAAATAGTATCTAAGTCCTAGTCTAAATGCATTCTGTAAATAACCACGACCCAGTATACCATATATTTTGGTTGTGTGGTGCAGTAATAGAGAACAGGTAGAGACATGTTTACTTTGCAATGCTTTTATTAGAATAAATAGAAGGACCAACAACTGACATTCACAAAATCAATGACATATCGTGGGAATGAAGATGGGAAATTGTATCAGTCAGGAGGTGATGTGTTTTGAGATGATGACTTAAGAAGAAATGGTGAATTTTCTGTATGCCTCCTCAGAACAAGACCTGAGCGTTACAGTATGTGCAGAACAAAGAAGCACAAATGCATTACTCAAAGAATGGTTTGCTGAAATTAAGAATTTCATCTGCAAGTTGTCCAGGCATCACTTCAAGGATGGTTGCCCAGAGAGTTCTACAGAAAGGAATGGGATTGTTCTAATAGTTGTGTTTATTTCAGAGAACTCCTGTAGAAAAACCAGACTCTCAATATCAGTGTCAGAATTTCTCACAAGAATCAAAATAGTGGTCCTGAATCTTAAGTTATTCGATCATGATGTTAAGCTACCTCTTGAAGTTCTTATTTATTCCTGGATATAAGTCCTAAGTGCAACTTCTATAAGCAGAAATATCAGCACACAAAGATCTTAAAAGTCACACACTTCTTCAGGAATATCTCCCTAGATACTGAAGGCTTTCCACTTACTGAAGAGATGAGATTATACTACAATACTAGAGTAAAAGGGGTCTGTTTCTAAGGGGTAGGCAAGCATTATTTCCAGCCCTTTTTCTCCTTAGGGAGAACGATATCTACCAAAGATGAGGATCATGTCGCTTGGATTGTGTTTGATCAAGAAAAGGAATGGGTGGTCAGCCCTGAACTCTTCAAACTCAGAGGAAGATTGGATGTCTCCAGTCACTGCCTCTGAGCCACCTGCCTCCTCAGTGCCCTCTTCAGTGACTTCCATGTACGCCTCGTGGATGGCCTCAGATACCCTCAGGCCCTCTGCTGAAGAGATGCCAGAGAGGTTGGCCGAGGGGCTGAACAGGTCGGTCATACCCAAGGATGTCAGGACAGATGTGAGGTTATATTTCTCCTCAATCTTCATGCGTGGGAGGTACACTTTTACTCTCTTCTTTTCCATCACCTTGGGACTGGTCCATTCCAGGAGTTTTTTATAGCTGATTTTGCTCTCAATCTGCAAAGAGAGGCAGAGAATTAAATGTCTGAGACAAAAGTTCAATGGCCTTAAAAGCTGTGTTTTTACCACCTGTTACTGGCTTTTTCCATTTACTTTAGGTACACAATAGAACTGATACTTCTTCTTAAATGCACTTGTTTATCCTGTGTGCTTCCTCCTGACTATGGAGCTTATATAATATGTCTGTCTTGAGGAAGATCCTCAAATCTTTTTCATCTGAAAATATCTTCATCAGATGAAGTCTTTTTTTGTAAAAATATAGTTTTTGTAAACTTCAAATCAAATTGACTCTAAAACTGTTCCTCTTGGAAGATATTTTATTGATCCCTTTCTGTAACTTTTTTCCTTTCTAATGTTACTTTTATAATTTTCCTTTTAGTCAGTTCTTGGAATGCTTTCTTCATCACTTTCATTTTTTATTTCCTCTAGGATAAACTTTTCTTCTTTAGCAAACATTTGAAACCACTCACAGTGATAAAAATCCTGCTACCTTGCCTGCCTCTGATGCCTGATGGAGATAGGTGCATATAGCAACATCCTCTTCTGCAGGGCTACAGCAGCACTACACTGCTTTACCTTCATTTCATAAAACTGAGCTCAGAACTCTCCTCAGAGGCTCTGCCTGAGCACCTGGGCACATTTTGTGCTCCCCCGCCTGCTCTGCACAGCCGTGGGGCGGGCAGCTGCGATGTCAATGGGCAGCAAAAGGTCTGACAGCAGCCAAGCCCCACTGAGCCACAACTCTTCTGCTTGCCCTGCCAGGGCCATACCTGTGCCAGGCCAGAGATGTCATCAGGCAGCAGCACCAACAGGCTCAGCTCTCCGCTGGCATAGGGAAGCTCCAGGATCTTAATTTTATCTTCAGCCACTCTTCCCACTCTGAAGGTGCTGTTCTGATGCATCATTTGCACGGGTCTGCTCTCTTGCTGTAAAAACAAAAAAGTGAGATGATTGTGGGAGCAATCTTTCTCTTTGGTCAGACAAATGTACAAGGCCTTTAAAAGGATAGGACTCAATTTTCAACCATGCTACCTATGGAAAAGAGCTGTTTCTCCATTTTCCTCTCTCGCTTGCTTGTGTGTCCTGGAAACCTGTTCAGTCACAGATCTTGTGAACGCTAATTGGCTTTAGGCCAACTCACTGACAATGATGGACCCAGAAAAATCACCCAACCTGTGACAGATATTTGTAGCACCCAGACTCCTGTCTGTGTGAGCCATGAGCTGCCCTGGCCAGAGGTGTGTCTGTGCCCTCCTACCTCAGTCACATTGAAAGGTTCTTCCTGAGTGTGTTGTTCTTTAAATGCAATTTTCCATATCCCTTTGAAGTAAATGACATTCACAAAGACCAGCGCAGTATTGAGATCAACAGAGTCTGACACAAGGAAGTCTTGGATCCGTCCTTTAAGAAAGAGAAGAAGAGAGAAGTAAGATACAGCTCCTCTGGTGTGCACAAATCTCTGTGATGTTGGGGTGAGGCTGGGGGTTCCTGCTTTGTGGAGTTTCATTTTCATAGCAGTAAACAACCTGCACTTGCTTGACCCACCTTTCCTAGAGGTTATGAGGAGAGGAAGACAAGGATATAGTTTATGGTAGGTGAGGGAAAATGCCTGCTACCAATTTTTAAGTCCTTACCATTTGTCTCCTTCTCCACCCAGGAATTGATGCGCTGTCTTGCTTCCTCTGCAGCTGTTTTGAAGTCAACTTCTTCCAGCTCTGCTCTGTAGAATTTCTTTGCACACTTTATGTATTCCTATAAGCAAAAGGGTTACAGTTGTCAGACTGATGAGGACTTGGAATTATATGGATGTCTAAAGCAAGATTGTGACATAAAGCAGAATGGTTTAAGGAACAGTGAATGTTTACTCCTGGGTTTGAACATCAGGCACTGAACATGTCAGTCACATCTGTCTTCTTGTAACTGAATCTTAAAGCTGTACAAGAAAGACTGCTTCACGTATATAGATCTGGCACTTTTTGATGAGACAGGGATCCAAGTTAAAATTTTTATATATTTCCTTTGTTTTACGAAACAGTTTCTGTTTAACAAACATTTGTAAGGCCAGACAATGTTTGTCTCCTTCTCTTTGTGTTCAATCTTTAGTGTTTTGAATATTGTGTTCTCACATTCTTAGATTTCAAAAGCAAAGCTTCCTTTCACTAGGAAACTGAAAATTTCAGTTTTCATTATTTCAAGTAAAAAACTTTATTTAATTTCCCTTAAGAGTTACATTTTTCATTGCAAGCCATTTTTCTAGTAAATTAACAGCAATCTTGATTACTCCCTGTGATTTGCAATATAGGCATATTTTATGCCATTATATCTTTGCCTTCATCTAAAAGGCACAGAAAAGTCCAAACTCTTTCTGTACCAGTTTCCTTCATGGCTCACAAGCACCTCTTCATCAACAGAGTGGGCTACTGTTGGTGGTGCATCTCTAGGGCAGAGTCACAGGGGATTTACAGGAAATCTTGCGGAAGTCAGTTCACAGTATAACTCACCTCAAGAATAGGGTAGGTTTTTTCAAAATAGAGTCTGTCAGCAATCCTGAGTGAGTTAGTAGCATTTTGCCTGCTGATGTCTGAGAGAAGATCCTTGAATGTTTTGTGGATGGACTCAGCAGTGCCACACTGAGGTGATGACATGAAAAAAGAAGACAGATTGCATAAGGAAATAAGATCCTAAAGTCTCGTCCCTTTCAGTTAAGAGTGATGCTACAGGGCAGTCTTCCCCCACAGACTGTCACCTTTGGGGCAGCCAGTGCTGTAGTGGTGGTGCATTGAATGGGCACATTCATCCTTGTCAAGACAAATCCCCTGAAATGTGCTTTTTAAAAGATGCAGTTGAGTTCCTGTCACTGAGACTTCTGGCCTCTTCTCTGCCCAGCTGAAAATCGAACTGCTGTACCCTGGCTCTAGGTGCTGAGCCCTCTTCACTCATCCCCCAGCAGCACTTGCCTGGGAAGCCACCCTGGTGCCCAAAGCATTCTCCCCACACCATTACTTGTTCTGGTGCGAGATAAGCAACCTGCTGTCTTTCTATGTTTGTTTAAAAACAGGTGAATCACACCCTCCTTCCCTCCCTCCACAGATTCCCTTGGTTTGAGGCCATTACTGTAGTTTTTGTCAGGGTCTGAAACTGCCAGGAGAGGCAGAAAAGTTCTACTTTTGTTCTGAGGAGAAAATAAGACAGAAAGGAAGATTAAATTATTTCTCTACCTGGGAGTCAGAAATGTCTCCATCTCTTGTAACATTATCAAAGTGAAGAACCTGCAAGAGAAAATACCAGTGGTAGAAATGAGAAGCACGACCAACAACAATGTAAATTTGAGGTTTACATATGTTGCTTGTGTAAAAATCCTGTTGGCCCAGAAAAAAAAAAAAAGAAAAAAAAAGAAAAAAAAAGATGCTGAGATCTAGTATTAACTAAAAATTCACAGGTAAGCTTGCAACTGGTCTATGCCCTCTGTGACCTTCTTGGAAACTGTAAATGCTATTCTTTTCTTAGATGACTTTTTTTTTCTAGTGAATATCTAGAAATCAAATGAGTTACATATTATGTGTTGCTAAAAATAGTCTGTCTTTCTGGGATTTATCTTTTATATATATTAAAAAATCTGATTATGTTATTTGGAACTTGTCAAAATTTAAAAATCATAAAATTGCTGACTGGTAGTCTATTTTGCTATTGTCCCTGATATGTTTTTTTTTTAATGTTTAAGTCAACTGCCTGTTATATTGAAAATATACACCTTTTTATTAGTATTGTCTATATGTAACTCTTGATTAAGTTCTCCATTTTGTGACTTTGGCTTAGTTCTTGTGCATTGAAACAGGTGAAAACCTTGTCAGTGGATATTTTTTCAGTGATGTTACTTAGAAGGAACAAGTGGCACAAGTAGAGGTCACTTACACCCATGTAAGTAACTTACCTTCTCCATCTGGGATTGAGTCTTACCCCTTGCTCCCATATACACCAGGGCCAGGGTTGAAAGCATGCTCAGGGAGGAAAAGAGCACATTGTCATTGCTGCGGTGGATTTTCACCTCTTTGAATATGTCAAAACAAAATTCTGCATTTGCTGCACTGATGGAGCCCATTGTGAAATCCCTGTTGTCTGAAGGAAACAGAAAGAGTCTGACTTACTGTGGTGAAATAGGTCAATTGTAATGCAAAAAATTCAGTTTGCATGAACCCCAAACTTAGTGCACAGAGTTTTTTCAACAAACAGAATCCAGTGTTGTGGATTTAAAAGGCAGATATTCTTTTGGATTCATGAGCAATCAAAGCGCTGGACATCTGCCAGCTGTGCATAGGCTGGTGAAAGAAGAAAGCACAGACTAGAAAATACAGTGTGTGGCTGCTAGAGAACAAAATCCAGGGTACTGTGCCATATGTATATCACAGTCTCTATTAAATCAACATATTCATGTGACAGTCATCTCCTAATGTGAGATAATTTGAACAACAGTGCATCTAACTGTTCCCCTGATAGAATGGATGCAAATTCTCTCTCTAAATTGAACTGATTGTATTGGTGATATAAGGCAGATTTTTTATTATTTACCTATTCTGCTTACTATTATATTTTAGGCTTTAAGCTCTGTTTTTGTTTCTGGAGAAGAAACAGACTCATGAAGCAAATGCTTGTGGGTTTTTTTGTTGTCATTTGTCTTTGAAAATGTTACTATTAAAGATAACACAGAACTGTGAAATGATGGGATCATTTGAACATTCTGCACTCCTTGATTTCATTCAGAGAATATCTTAAATAACCCCTGGGATTCAAACAAATTCAATTTTGTCTTTTAATACTAAATGAAAAATTAAAGCAATAGAGGAAGAAGGAACAAAGTCTGTTGTAACTTATCACCAGCTTTTCAATGTGGAAGAGTTAGTAAACAAAACTATAGCTCATAAATACAAATACTTTGACTTTATTCATGGCAGACAGAAATAGCAAAATAATACAGACAGTACATCTGAGGGTAGGTAAGGTTTCTGCAGAAGGCATCCTGTGAAAATTAGTTTCTTCAACTGATACTGAAGGCCACAAACATGAGGTTACATCAATACAGTTATAAGTATTGCAAAAGACAATTGGTTTTCCTCTTACAGATTAGAACTTAAATCATCATTGAAAGAAATGCTTACCTTATCAGGTTCACCAGGGAAAGGTAGAGCACAGCTTCTCAGCTGTACTTGGGGCAGACTTGACAAACCCCCTGAAATATATCTTGTGTTAGTTTGTGACACGCCCCATGCTGTTCTGTGTTTACCCAATAAAGTGATGGATGGAGCTGAATGTCAGACATGCACTTTTACTTGGAATAAGTCCATTCTTTGAAACAAAACAAAACAAAACAAAACAAAAAAAAAAGCCTAAATGAAAGGATTTTAACTTAAAAGTTTCCAAAAAGGAAGGTTTATTCATCATAGCACATGAAACTTTGCAGAAAAGACAGGACAACATTAAATGACTGAAGCAAAAATAATGATAAAAGCTATTCATTGGAACTTTAGTAGTAAGTATGATTTGGTTATGGCAGCAAATAGTGTAACACAGCTTGTGAAAATAAAAAAGAATGATGAGGAATTCAGTCTTGTAGAATGTCTGTAAGGAATTTTGTCTTATTTTCCTTAATATTCCTCTGTCTTGAATAGTGACAGGCCAGATCCATTTCAGAGTCACCATTTTGTGAACTTACAAATTTTGCTAAGATCAGCGTATGCAGGGCTGTATTTATTGCAACTTTTCTCCCACTGTTGGCTGGACTACCAGTATCACCATTCTTTCTTCCCACCAGAATCTATAGCTCTTCCTAAAGAATGGAGAAAATTTTCCACTGAGGAACGCAAGAAAGAGCATTTCCTTTCAATGTTTATTGCCAAATTTAATAAAATTGAAGTACATTTTTCTACAAGAAGTTATATGTATTTGTCTGGTGTCCCTTGCTGCATTGTAAAAGACCACAGACATAGTGCTTCACAGAGCACAGTTTTTCATTCCAGAGCAATCTAGCTCGAGGAACACAGACACACAGTCTGAGCGCAGCACATCAGTGGAACAAAACCCTCAGTGAGAGTATTTTGGGAATACAAATTAATTTCAGCACATCTATACAGGGAAGAACTACAGAACTATGAAAAATATGTTGGGGAAAGAGAAGTTGACAAAATAAGAAAGACAAGATTTCCGTAACTTTTTAATTCAGGCATATTTAGATCCTAGTCAGATGCTACCAGAAAAGGATTTGAAGTCGCTGATATAATTTTAAAGGGCAGTTTAAGGTGTGCTGTTCTTTCCACAGGTCACAGCACCAGATGCTAGGTTCAAAATGTGCCTTTTTTACATACAGAGACCATTCTTACATTCTTCCATAAGCAACTTCGTGGCACGTCAGCTGAACAAACCAGAAACATTCATGGTCTGCAAGACAGTCATAATATACAATAGCAAGCAGAAACCATTCCTTTGAAATAAAAGAATGGACAGACAATAAAAGAAACTGCTTTGACCTCTCAAATGCCACATAATTTTAAAACAGAAATCCAAAGTCAATACACAAAATGGCTCTGAAATTGCCTAGAACAAATTATGCCTCAGGAGAGAAGAAGTGGACTTTTTAACCCTTTTCGTTGTCTGTAAAAGTGGAAAGCTTCTGGATCATCCCTACCTTTCTCTCTAGTACAGTTCTTCATGGTCCCATTCAGCTGAAGTTGTTCATGTAATAGGAGCCGTGAAGAGCTCGGTCTGGACTGGTGCATTTACATCATACTGGTACTTTACATGGTGCAGAGTGTGGTCCAGGCCAGTCTACTACAATTCTTGTTATGCAGGAACAGGGCTTTTGTGGAAAGATCTTTAGACTTTGACCTGCTTGGCTCATCACTGCAGATCTACTGCAAAGAGAATGAGATTCTCTCACAGGAGCTGTGTGTAAACTGATCACCACTGTTGTGGGTCCCATTTAGCTGAAAAGGATCCCATCTTGCAGGAGGACAACGGGTCAAATGAGTGCATGTGCCTGTGTAGGGTGAACCTTTTACCACACAGCTGGGAGATGCTCCCTAGACTGCCAGCTGTTCCTGCAGCTTCTGCCTTTCCATCTTGAGACTGCCTTGTTTCTGTTCAAGCTGCCTTCTACAGTTGTGGCCATGGTCCATTGCAATATGTTTGACAGCTCAGAAGGCAAAGGACTAGCCAGTATGTTTGTCCCTGTCACTTCTAATGTTTGAATATACCTTGAGTTTTTTCCTTGGCAATCAAATTATCTAGTGGTGTGCTTCAACTCACCACATGTGAGCCACCTTGGCCCTTGTGCGCCACCTACCTTAATCATATTTGTATCATCGTATCCAGCCTGTAACTTGGTAGCTACAAAGATGTCCCATGACGGTACACGTGTTTTGTAACAGCCAACTCACAGTATTAATATTGTTAGCAAAATATTTCTGAGTTGAATATATTCACTAATGAGAGAATTTTTTTGGTTTACAGTGGAGAAGGGGCAGTCCATTGCTTGAGAAGTGTGCTAATGCATGACCCAGGTTACTGGTTTTTTTAGCACTTCTATTTTTTATTGGTCAAATGAATGATTAATGTAAAACAAATTGCAGAGGCAATTAATCATTCCACAAGTAAGTAAAAATCATGATTATGATCAGCTATCAGCATAGAATTGTAAGAATATGAGAGGTAGTGTCTAGTGGACTGGGCAACTTTAGATCTGTCACGGAGCCTAGTGAGGTTAAGCAAACCTTCCTGCAGTTGAAACACTTCCTCAGAGAAAAGACAATGTATTGCCCTGTCCAGCACAGCTGTGTAATGCAGCACAAACACAAAAGGATGTGTTTATCCACATATCCTTGTTTGACAATCCTTGTCCCAAGAAAGAGGTCAGCTAAGGCTTGGTTGCCCTTTCCTCTGCCAGGCATTCCATTGTGGTGCTGTCCCTAAACCAACAGACTCTTGGACATTTGGATCTTTACAAAAGGATATGAAGTCCAGGTCAGCTCACAGACCAAAGCCTCTCATCCAATCACAACATCCCATGCAGAGCTCAAGATTTAGTTTTCATCCATGCTGCTGTTCTTTTGTCAGTGGGAAGGAGCATTCTGATTGTTTCATGTTTGTCTTGCTCAGGGTGAATGCCAGTGATTGTTCAGTTAGGTGCTACTGCAGACCCTGGTGCTGTGGCTAATCAATGATGGTTTCTCTCTCTGTTGTCCCATAGGACTGTGCTCTTCCCCCATCCTGAAGAAACTTCAGGTGTCGGGTCAAGCTCCTTCAGACAGGAGCTCTTAGCCCACCTGCTATCTTTCTGGTAGCCCTGTGCCATCCTGGAGTGTTGGGCATCTTTGCTTGCAGTGCTGCCTTGTTCAGTCACAGGCTGTGACAAGGCTGTGCATACCTCAGTGTTGGCAGAGTGAATTTCTCCAGTGAAGGCATCTGCAGAAGGGTTCTTTGATGGATCCTGTAACAAGTCGCCCACCCTTACTGCATCTGCTTAGCAGTGCACACAGCATCCAGGGTCTGCAGCTGTATAGGTTCCGGACCAGCTCACACAGCTGTCCCTTTATCAATCACCACAGCACACATGAAGTCCCTTATTCATCCCTCAAGTCCATGGAATCAGCCAGCAGCCAGGGTGACGCTGGGTATGGCCTTACTCACTGGCTCCTAAGGAGGCAGCAGGGTAACAAAGACCTTGCAGCCAGCACACACTCAGGGCAGGAAAGATGACAGCTGGCATTGACACAACATTTGGCATTGGCTGTGCCACGTGGGAGCTTACTTACCAGCATCCCTCCCCACAGAGAAACCTGTTTGTGGCAGCCTGTGGCTAGCACTGCCCATGTCACCATGCCTGCTACGTTACCTCCCCTCACTCACAGTCTGCCCAACATGTCCTTTATCTCGGCACATACTCCCAGGAAAAATAGAATTCTTCTTTTGCACAAAATAGGATAAACTAATCTCTTGGTTTGTTTCAACATAGACATCCTTCCACAAAGCCTTCCTCTCCTCTGAATAGCAGACTACTGAGATTCTTGGCAATACTCCTGACATGACTCCTGCAGGAAAAGACTGTGCAGAAAAGGTGAAATGTCGCTGCACAAAGGTCCATGCCATCATGTTGGCTTTGCAGAAAGAACTGGGAGGCCTGGCAGACACCAAGCTGACCGTGAGTCAGCAATGTGTCCTTGTGGCAAGTAAAGTCTAAGGGGATGCCTTAGAAAAAGCACTGCCAGCAGGTAAAGGGAGGCTTTCCTGCCCCTCCAGTCAGCACTGGTGGGACCACAGATGGAATGCTCTGTCTGGCTCTGGGATTTCCATTCCGAAAGAGATGGGAGCAGGAGCAGAGAAGATGATTAAGTGCTTAAAGTATCTGTCATGAGAATAGAGGCTCAGAGAGATGGGACTTTTTACCCTGGAGAAGAAAAAGTGCAGGGGGATCTTATTCATGTGCATAACCTTCTTGAAGGGAGAGTAAAAAGAAGATGCAGCTAGACTTGCTCCTGTAATCAGGCAAGAGAGAAGGGACACAACCTGAAATAGCAGAAATTACATTTAAACATAAGAAAATACATTTTCTTTTGGATAGGGAGGTAAACCTAGGTTGCCCAAAGAGGCTGTGGAGTCTCCATCCTTGGAAATATTTAAAACCCAGAAGGACATGATCCCAAGTAACCTGCTGTAGCTGACCCTGATTGAAAGGTTGATCTTAGAATAAAAAATAAGCAGAGGTCACTTCCAGTCTCAGCTGTTCTCTGCTTCCATATAATATCTAGAGGAAGATCTCAAAGGAGATGGAGAGAGCAGGATTATTGCACATTATTGTGCAAAGAAAGTACAGCAGTGTGGATGAGGCACTTGGAATGGGAGTGTCTGTTTCACAGACAGTTATTATTTCCATGCTGTACAGAGAGAAATGTTGCCTCATAGTGGCAGGCCCTTGGATGTCTCTTTCTGCAATTTGTACCACTACATGCAGAAAGTTTCAGATTTTTTCTTCTTATCAACTAAGCATTATTTCTGGTACTGCACTGCAGTCTGTATGAGAAAAAGGGTCTCAGTTCTTCAGAAAACCCATTTGGAAGGCTGTGACAAAAATGCCAGTCACAACAAGGACATTTTTAAGGTTTGTTTATTTTTGCCTTTTTTCATGAAATACTTTTGGAGCATTTTAATATTGTAAAAAGCAAATATTAAAGCAAGTTACAGGTTTAGTACAGTATTTCTGAATTTACAATTTTTACTGCCTCTTGTCTTTTCTTTTTAGAAAGGAGAAGCTTTGTACTTGCTTCTGAGTCATGGCCCCTTTGCTTTTCTCCCATTCCTTCATTTTGACTATTATTGCTGTTCAGGAAACAACACTGGTCACTGAGGCATATCTTTGCACTTTGAGCACTTTCTGGTTTAATTATCATAGGAAGGAAAGTTTTCAAATGTAACCCTTCTGAGGTCTTATTGTTTAAGTGTACAGGCTTTTGAATTTAACAGCCTGGATGAAGTGCTTCTGGCTACAAGAGATGCAGAAAGTGATTAAACTGCTTATGGCAAGCCTTGAGATGTTGAAATTTTGCATCTCTTGGAACAGTTTAAACCACTGCTTTAATTTCTAAAGAAAAATAATTAAAATGTACTTGGTGAAATAGCTGTCTTTACCACTGGAGAAAAATGGGGTCTATATCACAAACATTCAGATAATGTGGGTGTCAGACAGGTAGCACCACCTTTTTTCCTCTACAGGTCTGCTTTTATCATGCCACACTTTACATTAATGTGGAAATAGAATCATAGAATGTCCTGAGTTGGAAGGATCTGGATCATGAAGTCCAACTTCTGGCCCTGCATAAAACAGCCCCAAGAATCATAGCATGTACCCAAAATCATTGTCCAAACACTTCTTGAATTTTATCAGGCTGGTGCTATGACCACTTCCTTGTTCCACTGCCCAAACACCCTCTGGGTGAAAAGTCTTTTCCTAGTATCTAAGCTAAGCCTACCCTGACAGAGATTCCTGATACTCCCTCAGGGCCTGTTATAGTCACCAGAGAGGAGACGAGTTCCTGGTCTTATGCTTCCCCACCTGAGGAAGCTGCAGAATGCAATGAGGTCTCTCCCTCAGTCTCTTCTTCTGCAGGCTCAACAAACCAAGCTGCTCCTTCTATTGCTTCCCCTCAAGGCCCTTTACCATCCTCACGGCCCTCCTTTGGATGCTCCCCAATAGTTTATTGTCTTTTTTATACTGCATTTCCCAAAACTGCCCCCAGCACTTGAGATGAGGCCACCCCTGTGCAGAGCAGAGCAGGACAATCCCCTCCATTGCCCGCTGGCCATGCTGTGCCTGATGCCTCCCAGGACACACTTGGCCCTCCTGGCTGCCAGGGCACTGCTGGCTCATGTTCAACTTGCCACTGAGTAGGACCCCCAGGGATCCCATCAACCAGGATCCCACAGGTCCCTTTCCATGGGGCTTCTCTCCAGAAATTTATTGCCTGGTCTATATGTACATTCAGGGTTTCCCTGTCCCTTATTGTTGGAATAGCTGATATTAGCGACCAAGTACCTCCTCTCAAAACTCTCAGTGGGGAAATGCTTTGCCTAAGATTTGTCCATCTACTTATTCTTTCTTATGCCCTTTGATTCGGATGATTTCATCATCTCAAATGGCAGAGTTGCTGGAACAATTTTTCCTTGAAATATTTATCTAACTAAAGTGCATCTTTAATACCCATTGGAATTGTATCAAAGAATAAATAAGAACAAGTTACTATTTCACTGGGCTATTTCTTGGCAATCAGTATTTCATGGAGGAATCAAACTATAGATGTGTGCATTCATTTATTTCATAAATGGGTAGGAATCTTCATATCTACATAACTTTATTAATTCTAAAAACTGGAGTATTGTACTAAATCCCATTTTTCTCACAACAGTTACCATTGCAACTGTTGTGACAATTTTAAGGGTTAGTCACCCAGAAAATTAAGAAAATTCAGATAATTTCAGGACCAGGATTTGTGACTTTCTTTTATTGTGTTAAGAAACAAAAAATCAATTATGTGCATGAAAATGAGTAAGATATGATTAGAGTGAAAACAGGTCATAATATTGTGCCAATGGAACCATACTTGGAGATGCTAGTGGACACATTGGAAAAAAAGACAGAGAAAATTAGGATTCTCATGTGTTTCTTGAAAACAAGAGATGTAGTCTTGAATTACCATAGGAACAAAGAATCCCAGCTACATTAATGGAATAATAATGCTCTTGAGTTTTGAACAACTGAGAACTTTCCAGGAACAAACTGAAGTTTACTTGCTAAGCAAGATCGACAGAGATGGGAATTATTTTGAAAGCTGTGTTTTTTCACAAAACTCCCCTGGGGAAATCAGATTCTTTAACACCACTATCAAGATTTTTCTCAAAAATAAAAATATTCTCAAATTTGGAGTGACTTCCAATATTTTAAACAAATATTCATGTAACTCTTTTCCTTGGCAGTTGAGTCCTGGATCATCCAGATATCCATGTTTCAGGCTTTGAAGCTATACTCTATGACAAGACATAACTGCACCTAGACAAAGTTAGATCTCCTTGAACATTCTGAAGTGGAAGGGAAACTCTCCCTGACTTTGGAAAGTCTCTGGAAGAAATTCAGTATTACATAAGGTACTCATGGTGAGAGGACAGCTCTGGTCATAGTGGATATGTGCACCATTTCCCAACAGATAAGTAAAAAATAAGAAAAATTTACAAATTTACATAGGCACCAATTAATACCTGCATAGCAGAATCTTGTCCACAAGCATCTTCTCCAGACTGAGGATTTCAAAGCCAGTGTTTTGGGAACTACATGGGTTTCTTAGCAGGATAGTACCAGGGAATGGGATGAGCATAGCCCATGGCTTTCTACATAATGGAATACCAAAGACTTGGAGCCGTGTCTGCAATTCCTTCCTCAAGTGAAAATCATGTGACCTCTTCCTGGCCTGTGAGGGCCTCTATTCTCTGAGGGCTTACTCTTTACTTGACTCAGTCCCCACTGAAACCTGTCAGTCTGAGAAGGGAAAGGAGCAAACACGCTGCTGTTTCCTCACCTGCACGTGTCTCTGTGCTATGGAAGCTTCAGGAAAGGGCACGACTTAAGAGTAGCCTTTCCACTTGCAGAAAATATTGGAGATGAGATTATGCTACAATACTAGAGTAAAAGGGGTCTGTTTCTAAGGGGTAGGCAAGCATTATTCCAGCCCTCTTCTCTTCATGGATAACAATATCTACCAAAGAAGAGGATCAGGTTGCTTGGATTGTGTTTGATCAAGAAAAGGAATGGGTGGTCAGCCCTGAACTCTTCAAACTCAGAGGAAGGCTGGATGTCTTCTGTGTCATCTGCTGACCCAGCCTCCTCAGTGCCCTCTTCAGTGACTTCCATGTACGCCTCGTGGATGGCCTCAGATACCCTCAGGCCCTCTGCTGAAGAGATGCCAGAGAGGTTGGCCGAGGGGCTGAACAGGTCGGTCATACCCAAGGATGTCAGGACAGATGTGAGGTTATATTTCTCCTCAATCTTCATGCGTGGGAGGTACACTTTCACCTTCTTCTTTAACATCACATTGGAACTGGTCCACTCAGCAAGTTTTTCAAAGCTGATTTTGTTCTCAATCTGCAAAGAGAGGCAGGGAATGAAATGTGGGTTGCAAATCCAACTTCTTCCTATCATTCATTTCTGTCAAGGCTATCATAAAAGTAAAACCCCAACCAGAATGGTTCCTGCAGCTCATCCTGTTGGCATCCTTCTGGTATTTTATTAATTGCCTCTCCAGTACTGCCTGTGTCACTCTCCTTTTATTCAGATTTTTACCAACTTAACACAACTCCCTTTGTCCAAGTATTGTTGTGTCTTATGAGGCACAAGCCAACAGTTTCACAGCCTAGCGAATTAGTCAGCTTGTGAAAGATTGCAAAAACAAGACCATGAAAATTTACCTACAGTTGGTAGCAGCTAACAAATGCAAAATCTTCTACATCTGTAATAACTCTATTTTATAATTTAAAATTACTGAAATATGAGTAATTGTTCATATATTATGGACTGCATTGATTTTTCTTCTTTCTTGAGTGCAGATCAATAATTTTATAACACTGCCTGTATAGCAACATCATCTTCTGCAGGGCTACAGCAGCACTACACTGCTTTACCTTCATTTCATAAAACTGAGCTCAGAACTCTCCTCAGAGGCTCTGCCTGAGCACCTGGGCACATTTTGTGCTCCCCCGCCTGCTCTGCACAGCCGTGGGGCGGGCAGCTGCGATGTCAATGGGCAGCAAAAGGTCTGACAGCAGCCAAGCCCCACTGAGCCACAACTCTTCTGCTTGCCCTGCCAGGGCCATACCTGTGCCAGGCCAGAGATGTCATCAGGCAGCAGCACCAACAGGCTCAGCTCTCCGCTGGCATAGGGAAGCTCCAGGATCTTAATTTTATCTTCAGCCACTCTTCCCACTCTGAAGGTGCTGTTCTGATACATCATTTGCACGGTTCTGCTCTCTTGCTGCAAAAACAAAAATGTGTCAGATGATGTGATGTGGGAGCAATATTTTTCTTTGGTCAGACAAATGTACAAGGTCTTTGAAAGGACAGGACTCAATCTTCAATCATGATGCCCTTTGAGAGGAGCTGTGTCTCCATTTTTGTCTCATCTGCTGGTTTGCTCTGTCAGACACAGCTATCGTAAATCTGACAGCGAGGCACCCATGTAAATCACCCCCCAAATGCTAACAGAACTGTAAATACAACAAATACACATCTGGCCAGAAGCTGTGTCTGTGCCCCCCACCTCTGTCACATTGAAGGGCACTTCCTGCGTGTGTTCTTCTTTAAACGCGGTCTTCCATTTTCCTTTGAAGTAAATGGCATTCACAAGGACCAGCGCAGTCTGAGGATTAACAGAGCTTGGTTCAAGGAAATCCTGGATCTGTCCTTTAAGAAAGAGGTAGGGCAGAAAGTGGTAAGTTTCATAGCAGTAGTCTTGTGTTTTAGAAGTCAATCAATATGCTGCTCCTTCACTTTACTTCTCCAAAAGTCTGCACATTGAATTAGGGTTCAGAAGGATGATTTAATAATACACTGAACGGCTGGCACCTGGCCAGACATTTCTGCAAGAGGACAGGTGGGTTCAAGAGTGTTATAGATTCCCAGGAACATTTCTAACCAGCGCTTGGAAAAAATAAATATTTATATAGAAAAGAAGGAAAGGGAGAGGGAAGAACCAACACAAATTTTCTCAATATGATTGTTTCTCACAATTCACTCTAGGTTTTTCCTCCCACCTCAACACAATAAGTGCACACAAGCTTCTGAATCATTGCTTTCCCTCCATCAGTTTAGTATGCATTACTTTCTCCCCTGGAAACCCATTTCTTACCTATCCAGCACATCCTTGTAAAAATATGCCAATATTCTAGAGATTCTGGGAGTAACCTTGCATGAGTTAATCTCTCCAGATACAAAAAAGAATGCATATATAATGTGCATATTAAGTGTGCATATCATGGCACCTCTGCCTTTGCCAGATGTATTTAAAACACTCTGTCACTGCCACACAGGTGCAATAGTCATCCCCCTCCACAGAAAATAGCCAGTAATGGGAACAGGAAGAGGAAATTTCTCCTCTAATGTTTAGTCCTTTCAGAAATTGCTAAAATACAGCTGTATTTTAAAATATGTTAAATACATTTTAAAATATGTTAAAATACAATTGTATTTTATACAGGCAGGAGTATATCTCATAGTCTTGTTGGACTTACCATTTGTCTGATTTTTCACCCAGGAATTAATGCGCTGTCTGGCTTGATTTGATGCTGTTTTGAAGTTGACCATTTCTAGACCAGATCTGTACAGTTTCTTCACACATTTTAAGTAGATCTGTAAAGACACCAATTAATTGTAGCTAGTGAACTAGTAATTTTTTAGAAACAATATGAAAGTAACATAAAATATGACTAATAAGATTTTTATATTGATGTCATGGTTAAGGTGTTCTCGTTGCTTACTTCCTGAAAGAATTTGCTAAAACTGGACCAGGAAAATTATTTTGTTTCATGATAATTTCAGATTTGACATCTTTAGTATGTGACCAGTTTAGAGCATGTATTAAAAATATTTTAGAGTTTCTGGAAGGAAGCCTGATCCAAACCCCCTGTTTTCAGGTTAATTTTACACTGCTTTATCATCTTTAAGTCCGCTTCCATTTATCAAAGCATTTTCCTTATTTTTAAACATAAGAAGTTCTTTGATTTAGAATATTTGTATTTTTTGTTTTGAAAATGTGAAAGAAAGATTTTGACACTTTCAAAATTTGGTTTTAAGGTGAGTTTTCAAGTGAAGAAATACGCTAAAGTCAAATTATTTTCTGAAAAAAACTCCAACAACCAGTTAAAATGAAATGCTTTGGGGGAGCAAGTGGCGATTGAGGAGTTACATTACTAATAATTTTTTTTGTTACTCCATTCATTTTTTAATAGGGCCATATTTTTGCTTCAAAATATTTTCTATTCTAGGCTGTTGCCAGGGCCATGGCAAAGGGAAAAACCATGTAAATCCACAACCAGTAGGGACTATTGGATTAACTGGTCACCTACTCTGGCCAGTCCTCCTGGATTAGAGAATTTTACAGGGTTTAGCAAGAGATCACTTACCGGTAGGACCTGACTTGTCTTCTCAGCATAGAGTCTGTTGGCAATGTGCAGTGAATAATTGGCTTCTGGCGCAGTGATATCAGAGAGAATTTCTTTAAACAGTAGGTGGATATTCACAGACTTGCCACACTGAGTTGTTGATAAGAAGACAGAAAAGTATAGCTTTTAGGTTATTTTATGAGAAAGAGGATTATTTATAAGGTACAAATAACATGGGAAAACACACAGTGTTTGGACATTTGCAAATGAACATGTACTAGATCTAAGAGTTCCATGGGAGGGATGTTCAGTATAAGCAGCTAATGATGTATAATTCATTCACAGCCCTATTATGCCACTCATTCTAGAAGTTAATTATTGAAATTGGTGACTTTTCATAGGTACAAAGCCTCTAAATCCCAGGCACTTCTTGCATTTTCATGGCATTTTTTGCAGAAGCAGCAGATGGAAGAAGAGAGCTAGATGGCAAGGGAGTCAGGAAGTGTTTTGTAATACAGTGAAAAAAATGGATCACCTGTCTCAAGTTCCAAGAATGGTGACACAGGCTAAAAGCATGTAAGAAAACTGCACAATGATAAACAGTAGATGGGACTTTATTTTTTGAGAATAGTTGTGTTGAACATCTCTCTAAATGCTTAATGAGTCCCTAAATGTTCTAGCTTTTTTTTTCTTTGTTAAAAAAAAAAAAAAAGTCTCATCTTTTTTTAAGTCCCACCTTGTGTTTTGGATCCCAAGTAAATGGGGACACACCAGGTTCCATGGCTTTTGATATCTTTACAGAGGCAGCAGATTAACATGGACAGAAGTTTACAGGTGGTATCAAGGTACTGGGACTCTTCATGGTTCTCTCGGGGTAGCAGTGGGAATTGGAGGCTGGAAAAGTCACTATAGCTTTGTAAGAGTGTGGTTACTTTCCATCCTTTGGGGATTCTGGGCTCCTTTCTGCTGTCCCACTTTAGAGCCTTAGCTGCAAATCTGCCTACTGTACCCCAGCTTCAGGTACTGAGACCCTTTCAAGGGCTGTAGCCCAGCAGCACTTGCAGGTGTGGAGTTCATTTACACCAAAATGTATCCTGGTGCCCAAAGCACCCTATCCTGTCCTGTCACGTGCAATATGTGCAGCCTGTCTTCTTTTTCTGGTGATGTTTTGGGGGTTTTTTTGTGTTCATTTTGGGTGGTTTTTGTTTGTTTGTTTTTGTTGATGTTTGTTGGCTTGGCATTTTTTTTTTGTTGCTGTTGTTCTTTGGGTTTTGGTGGTTTGTTGTATTTTTTTTAACTTACATCTCTTAAATTAAGAGAATTCGCTAAAGTTTGGCAAGGTGTTGAAACTACTAAAAGCACTATCAGAACAGTCTATTCTCAGGAAAAGAATGTGAAAGAGAAATCAATGTACCTTAGATTTCTGTACCTTGGTCTGGATACTTCCAAGTCCTGCAATTTTGTCAAAGTGAAGAACCTGCAATTGAAAGTAGAAATTAGGTATGTGAAGTCCACTGTCAGTCACTGGTATTTGTGCTAAAACTGTAGGTTTTCAAAACTAAGCAAGTCTGATTAGCACAAAGATAAGCTGAGAAATTTCATGTGAGCTTTAAACCAGGCACGACTGAAAATTTGTGATTGTGATCTTCAGCTTAGGTCCCTTTTTTTCCATGGCATTGTCCATAAATCAGCTACAGCCTTACAGCATTGTATTTATAACTGTGACTCTTGTTTTCCGAATGTTTCATCTTTTGTGTGTCTCAAGTTGTTCTTTCCACCTGGAAGGAATCGAGTCTCTGAGATAATATAAGCTGAAGCAAGAGACCTGCCTTAACCATCCTCCAAAACTGCTCTTTCTTAATGAAGACCAAAGGTGGTTCTTGCACTTTGTGGGGAAATGCAAGAAGTGAAAAGTAGCTCCAGAATATGGAAAGCCATTTTTTGCTAGGCAGGTTTGGAAGATATAAATGGATAATCTGCTGCCTCTTTGAAAGGGATCAAAGAGAGTTTGTACCCATTTATGTAACTTACCTTCTCCATCTGATACTCAGTGTTGTTTCTTGCACCCAGATAGACCATGGCCAAGGCTGCAATCATGCTCAAGGGGCAATAAAAGATGTTGTCGTTGGGATGGTGAAGTTTCACTTCTTTGAATACATCAAAACAAAATTCTGCATTTGCTGCACTGATGGAGCCCATTGTGAAACCAGTGTTTCCTAAAGCAAACAGAAATACGACTTTATGGTCACAATATGTAGTGCTTGTTTTAAGGAGTATTGCCAATAGCCCAGAAACTGCCAGTTCATTGCTGGTTTTGTGATGCTGAAGCAATGAATGATGTGAAGCCTACAAATTCTGTGATCATTAGAAATATTGTAGCTCCTGATCCATTTACATACAAACATGTGTTTGTTTCCTTTCAACAAGATCCTATCAGCAAAATAGTACCTTCTACTTGCCTTTTAGGAAATAGAAAGTTTCATCCACCCTTCAATATGATAAACATTGAATGAGTTTCCCTGTGGCCATCCAGAGGGCTCTGAATGGTGTTTGAGGCAATACAAATGTAATATTTAATTTGTTCTGTGGCTGCTCTCGATCTTTAAATCAAATGTAGTCAACTCCCTACACTCTTTGTGTACTTCTCACTGTTGCTTAATACAACCAGCCATAAATTTGGAGGTTGCTTTTCTGTAGTTTATAGCAATAATACAAGCTGTAACACGGCTGCTTGGATGTTGGTATATAAATTTAGGGTTTTCTTGTGGTCCTGTTTCAGACATTTAATCACTACTGATGCTTTTTAGCACAATCATGCATATCTATATATATATATGTATATATATATATATATATATAAAAAAAATGGGTTTTGTCAGGGAGAGAGATTGAGAAAAGAGACATGTCTTTACCCCCAATTATAATAATTATAAAATGATAGTTTTTAATGTGACAACAGGTTTTAAATGGAAAAGAACTATTTCTAGTCAGTGCTGTGATGAACTAGCCACATATTTTGCCCAGTGATAAGTATTTGACAGTGAAACAGTATAAGATATAATGAGAAGGCAAGGTAAAATTACTGTATATACTGTCTTTTTACATACCTGTCTTGTACTTACCTTAAGGTTCTTAAATATAATATAATTTTTTTTCCATCTTAAAGAATACAAATTAGAAATTACATTTTCTTGGAGAAATACTTACCCCACAAACTTCAAAGAGGCATGTAATAACCCAGCTTGCCAGGTGCAGCTAAACAGCTCCCTGAACTCTTGGTGATATATACAGCAAGTCTTTGAGACACTCCCACTGTTGCCTTCAAGGAGTCATCTTCAAACGCTGCCTTTTGTCACGATTCATTGCACCTTGAAACATTGAGCAGGACAATGTTAAGCTGGTATTCTATCTGCAGCAAGTCAACCTTATTTATTACATAAAACCTGATTTAAAAATGAATTATTTAAGCTTTTGCTGTAACCCCCTCTTCTCCTCAGTGGTGAGGTGCTCTCAGTGCTGAAGGCACTCTAACACAGTACTCCCACCAGTCATGAAGGGAAGGGTGGATGCTGGGCTAAATGCTGAACATCTGATAGACATGCAACAACTCACTACAACATCTGTGCAGTGACAGAGAGAAGTTCCTCAAGAATGGTGGCCATCTGACCTTGCCAAAATAATGTAATTCCAAGTAAAGCCAGCTGCAGCATGGTCATTCTACTGGGAGGGGTTTGAAATGGATGGGGTTTTTTTCCATGTTAGAACAAACTCAAAACTTCCTGTGTAGTTTTCAAGACTGAAAGGTTTTTGGTCTGACAAAATGCAGAAATATATCCCTGGAGTGCAGACTGGTGTGGTGTATGACTTGTACTTGTTAAAATCACAGCCACATCCATTTCTCAACCTAGGTGAGCCTGCAGTATTTTACCTGAGGCCAAACTACGAGGGTCTATAGCATAGGCATGCAGGAAGAGGGGAGAAAAGCTCCGAGGAGAAAGCACATTTTGCTAAAACCTCATTTTGATGAAAACATTTAAAGCAACAATGTTGAGATGACTTAAAGGCCTGAAGATGGGCATGGAAGAGGAAAAGATTTGAGGAACAGTTGGGAATTACATATTTCCTGGGCTGTAAGCCTGACCCCAGAGTATTCAGGTGTTCAGATATTAATTTAAACCAGCCAGTGGTATTTAAAGAATGACTAAGAGTCAGCTTTTAATTTTCATTCTGTGCAGGTCATGGCAACAAGGCCCATGCTACTTGCACAGGCCATTCCCATAGATCTTCCATACCTTGTAACTATGGCAGGTGAACAAACTACAGAATCTGTCTGCAGGAACATTCATGGTCTGTTAGACAACCATAATGCACAATATAAAATATAATTCAATTGTAACAAGCTATTACTCTTTATTAAATAATAGACTTGATGAGCAGTAAAGAAACAAATCTGGGTTCTGCAAAGTCCATAGGGGTGGATAATAGAAATCCAAATTTGTATGTGTTAAGTCACAGCATACAGCAGTAAGGGCCTCTGTGAAAAGGAAAGGGGGCTGCTTTACCCTTAACAGTGTTCTTTGCCTTGCTGAAATGCAGGGATATATGTGCAGAGACTGATAACTGAAGTGGTTTTTAGTTTCCACATTTAGAATGGAGATATTATAGCAGCAATGAGGAAGGGAAAATATGAAGACAAGGAGCTTTCCTCTGATGCTGGCATGAACAAGGAGACCAAGGAGATGGGAAAGCAGCTCTTTCCAACATTTCTCTACTCTTATTTTCACATGTAATTTCTTCTGGTTGCTCAGAAGCTACTGAACAGTGTTTGAGAGTGGTGTTTGCTTGTGATTTTGGATGGCCTCTCTGTCTGTATGACACATACTGTGTACACTGTGCTGTGCCTGAGTGTCTTTCTGACTGAGACCATAAGGAACCAGGATTTCCTACTACAAAACCTACTATCAGCTATATTTTGAGGAAAATAAACATTAGTCTTCTTCATGGGGTGGGGGGGGAAGGTGAGGGACAGGGAGGAGTGTGACTCAAAGCTGCCCTCTTTGGCTTTTTCTGTGACAATCCAAAAATCTTCCTTTACCCTTCTTGCCTATCTATTGCAAAGCTTTTGAAGATATAATAAAAAATTATGTTATACATAGGTACTAAGAAACTGTTTAAAGGAAAGCACAGTTTCAGAGAAAACTGAGATCTGCAACCATCAGAGAGAATAAAGTTCAGTGGCAATGTGAATATGTAAGGAGTTATTCCGTTAATCAGACTGTGGGAAAACACAGATCTTTCTATTGTGGGAAAAATATGTGTTACCTTTCCATGGATCCTCATGCAAATACTATTTGACATCTTTTGCTTTGCTTTTTTGCCAGTCTACACTTTTGTAGGCTGTCATGGTGGCGTGGTTCGACATTTAGCATGGAGCATGTCCCTGGGGATGAGGCCGTGGAATGCCCTTCAGGGCTATGTCTGCTCCAGGCACCATTTGGAGTTTCCAAATTTTCTCTGCTCTGCGAGCTCTTTTGCTTGGCATCGAACTTTTACAAACTACAGTTTCCCACAGGAGAAGCATTTGCTGCCAGAGTGGAGGGTTTACCTTCTATTTTTAAGTAAACATCCACGATTTTGTGGGAGCACTGCCCTCCACAGTAGGAGCTGCTGCCACTACATTAGCAGGCTACTTTCTACTACTAGGAGGCTACTTTCCAGCCTCTGGTGTTTTCACCACATTTTTTTTTTCATGTCTTGTAGATTAAAATGGCAATAAGGAAAAAAGATTGCATAAGGAGAAGGGGTTTTTTAATTATGATTTATACTGTATTTTGTTGCAGGTTCTGAATTATCTAGATATCCCTGAAGTAACTTTTTGGGGGTTTTTTAATTACAATACGAAGTTACTTCTGCTGTAGTAAACGAAGTGACATCTTGTTCCAGCCACACCTTCTTTGCTCACACACAAAATTCCTGTTGTAAGACTTGTGCTTTTTGAGATAATATATTAAAGCACTTGCCTTTATCACTTTAATGCTTTTTCTTTTACATTTTATCTGAAAATATATAGGCCTGATTGTGCAGGCTAATAAATTCTAATACTGTTCATTTCACTTTTTTTCTTCTAACCTAAGTAATTTTAATTGGAGATAAACCAGATATCACAGAATTCCAATGGCAGTTGTTGAAAAATATGTATAGCTGTTTTTTGAATACTTTGTTTATCAAAGAGCTAAGAGCATGTGTTTTGTGTTCTCTTACCAGATAATTGGTATGAAAACTGTGTCTCTACAGGTAATTCTACTATTTCAGGCTGTATTTCATACTGCAATTGCAGCCATATGAAGCATATCCAGACTATAATGGGTCTGCTTTATTCAGCAGTTCAATTTGTGTTGAGTACTGTAATTTACTGTAATTTTTCCTGCATATCTCAGCATTTGGAAGAGCCCTTTGAATCATCAGTACAATGGTACTAGTATGCTCCCAGTGTTTACCTTCTTCCCATCAGTGAGTAACAGGGAGAGGAAAAGTGAGTCATCAAAGGCTGGAATATTTTTCCCATAAAAGCAAGTATTCTTCATGTATCTGTGGATTTTGGACGTTACCTTCTGCCAGACTGGGCAGGCTGCTCCCTTCTTGTGACCCTGTGCTATTCCTTCCCACCACCTACTCCACAACATCCAGGAGGTGGTTTAGGGAACTAGATCATAAGCAAGAAAATTAGCTTTACCAGAAATTTTCCTCTTGATTTGCTTCCCAGAGAACTGCTCATCCCCAAGTCAGGCAACTAATAGTGGTCATGTAAAAGAGGGAGAAGATTCAGAGTTCATGTACCCTAATGTTGAATTATCCAGTGCCTAATCTCAGCATGGGGAATATTTAAAAGTGTGAGGTAGACTTCAGTGTCATTTACATTTTTGGAAAGGATTACCATTATTTTTACTTACTGTATTAGACTATTCCTCTCTTCACTTAATTCTACCACATTTACTATTCTACTACATTTACTTTACTGTGCAGACTACTACATTTACTATTTAGTTTGCAATGGGTTTATCATGATAAATAGTAGTAATAACAATAAATAATAAACACAGACTACCCATTTAAAAACCATCACTATAGTTTTTTTTTTTATTATTTTTTTATGTTAATGATTAATGAAATAGCTGGAACAAGAAACTCATGCTATCTGA